AAGGCCCAAGAAGCTGAGAATCAAGAGAATGTTTGCTGAATGAATGAATAGGAGCTTTCTTCTAAGCTACTGGGTACCCACCTGGTGAAGGGCAAGGACAAATGCAACAACCCTACTGACCGCCCATTCTCACCCAGGAGATGTGGGACAATGGGACCTCATCTGGAAGGAGATGGGAAGTGCCTGGCATTTAAGAAGACTTCTCCAGGTCCCATCCAGACTGGCCCTTGGACAGGGCCCTCATCAGTGGCGTGGAGTGAGTTAGCTACAACAGGGGCAGAGGCTAGGCCTGCGGAAGTGTGGCTCTCTGGGAGCTGCTAGCAATTTCTATAATTATTTCAGTTGTTTTACCTTTATATTTAGGAAAGTTCAGTTACAGGCTTGTTAAGAGAAACCAAGGGAAAACGGTGGGCCCCCATCAAGCTTGGAGTACTTACGGAAGAGGCTTGAGTCAAGTACAGGGCTAAAAGCAGAGCAACATCTCCAGAGAAGACAGTTCTGGGGACAGAGGGAAGGCACCCTTCTCATGCCTCCACAGGGTCTCCCACATGGGGTAACAAATAATAAGGACAGCTGACCACTGGCATGCTCGGGGACAGGCCTCCAGCCCACCTGTAGTTCTGCCATCCTGTGAGTAACTCCTTCCTGCTTGTCAAACTAGCTCTCCCTCCATGCGCCAAACTGCAGTCCTGTCCCTGACTGTGAACTCCAAGGCTGGGTTCCTCAATTCCTCTATCTGGCCAAGGCCACACAGCTGGTAAGTGTCCAGGAAGAACTAGGGCCCATCTGCCTGCTGTTCATGCCAAAGCACAAGGCAGCCCCTCTGGGTCTTCGACTGAGGTTTGGTGTCCTCATCGGCACCCGTGTTCTGTCATTACACGAGCAAAAATAGCTTCATCTGGACCATTCTTCGGATTCCAAGAGCCTTGAAAGCCAAGTCCTGCATCTCGCTGCTCTTTGCCTCTTTCACCCGTTTTTTTTAATTTACTGGATGTTTACCTACACATTCTCAATTAAGTTGAAGTTTACCGATACCTTTAGTTGATCATGGTGGCTTCACCTAAGTCTTAGAGGCTTCACAGACTGTGCGGGAGATGGTCCTGCTGAGCTGTCTGGCAGAGAAAGTAAGGATTCCAAGCCTCCCTGAGTGGCACTTTTCCTACCCTGGATGGGTGTCTTGGTCCGTTCAGGCTGCTCTAACAAAATACCACCACCAGGGTAGTTCCTAAACAACAGAAAGTTATTGCTCACAGTTCTGGAGGCTGCCAAGTCTAAGATTGAGAATCCGGCATGGTCACCTTCTGGTGAGGGCCCCTTCCTACGTCACAGCAGCTGCCTTCCCTTGCGTCCTCACAGGGTGGAAGGGGCTGGAGATCTCTCCAGAGCTTCTTTTCTAAGAGCATTCATCCCATACGTGAAAGCTCCACCCTCATTCCCTAAGCACCTCCCAAATGCCCCTTCTACTAATACTACCACCCTGGAGGTTTGGATTTCAACCTATGAAACTGGAGGGACACATGCATATCATCCAACTTGGGGGAGAGGATTCCCTGGGTGATCTGACTGGTTTCTAAGCAGGGATCTGTCTTTGCATCCCCAATCCTGGTATCCAGGTGGAGCTCCTTTTGTTTCATGGACAAGTAACAGTAAGGGCCAGAAACCATCTGTAGAAAGAACATAAGCATAGCTCTGAGGCTGAGATGGAAGCCCAGCTTTGAGGGTCTGGCTCAGTGGCACTGATATCACAGAGTTTTAGACCTTGAGTTCAAATCTGAAAATAAGCACATAACAGCTGTGATCTCGGGCACCTTCTTGTGGCCTTAGGAAACAGGTCCCCCAGCAGCTCGGCCTCTCTGAACCCAGTAAGGGTCAGGAATCAGGGGCCCCAGGGCCTACTCTGAAAGCAGGACTTAAGGGTGAAGCTGAGAACAGAAAGCCTGATTAAACAGTTGGATACCAAGACACCCCCAATTCAGTATTTTTACTCTCTGTACACCATCCTTGACTCCTTTCTCTCAACCTTCATCATCAAATCTGGTTGGCTCTACCTTCAAAAACAGCCAGAAAGATCTGCATCCCTCACTACCAAAACCCTATCTCCCACTACTCGCTCCGTCCATTCCCACAACTTGTTGCTTTTACTAGACACACTGGGGGCACACTTACCTCTAGGCCTGAGCCCAGGCTGTCTTCACAACCAGGAGCACCCTTCAGATATCCCTACAGTCACCCTCTCCCTGCCTTCATACCTCCTGCTCAGATGCCTCCTTCTCCAACCACTCTCCATCTCCCTTGGTCTGCCTTTTCTCTGAAGCACTTTACCTCATCTAACATATTATTATATATTTGCTGACTCCCTGTTTCCCCTACTGAAAGATCAGCTCTTCTGGGGCAAGAATTTCTCTATGCCATTCATTGCAGTATCGCCAGAGCCTAGAACAGTGTCCAGAACATGGTGGGTAATCAATATTTGTTGAACAAATGAAACGAGAAAACAAACTGAAGACCTCAGCAGAGAACAGGGACACAGAATGGTTCTTACCATTAAGTAGACTACAAACAAAACAAAACAACTTTGGATAGGTAGTCTCATTTCCCCCAGAAATGGGAATAGGAACACACAGAGCATCTTGAGATGTCAAAATCTTCTGCAGATCCAACCCAGATGGAGCGCCCATCTCTTCCCCAACGCCACAAAGTAGATGATGGTACCTGCACTCACCAGCACCTGCTCATGGGCTGGCATACCACAGGTGCTCAATAAATGTCTGCTGAGGAACCGGAGAAGGCAGACAGCCACAGAAAAGAGGAAACTAAAGAAAAGATTGGTGTGGCACCAATACATCAAAGTGTGGGTGGTCTAAGGCCAGGGAGCGAGGCTGAGTCTACACCATGGAACACCTAGGATGCCAAAACGTTTAACCTGAAAGCTGGGTGGTGGTGGGGGACGGGGGGGACCCTTGAAGTAAATTTGCTCAGGCATGTGACTCATTCAGAATGAAGAGCCAGCCATGGAAGAGCTGGGGAAATAGAGGTATCAGGCAAAGAAACAACTAAGACACCAGTGTAGCTTGGCACTGACAGGGTAGTTAGAAATCAGGCTGGAGCCAGATCACACAGGGGCTTTCAATTCTCATCCCCAAACTAAGAGAGGGATCTTTGACCCAGGCAAAGATAAAGTTACATGTTTTGGGTGGCAGATGGAAACCACCTTTCCTTCCCAAAGAACCTGAGACTCCTAGATATCCTAACAGGCAAGGGGAGGTGTTATTCATCTGGCACAGCTTCATTATACCTAAAAAGCTCAAAATTATTTGAGTAATTAGAGACATCAGTGAGTATTATGGCTTTATGACCATAAACTAGAACCAAAGAAGCAGTTCTAGAAGCAGAATGAGGTACTGGGGAAAAGGCTTGAAATTTTGGATTGAGCTATTCTCCTAATTGGGTATATGACCTCAGGTAAGTCTTCCACGACTCTGGTCTTCAGATTCCCTGAATTAAACTGAGGGAATCAGACTGACTATTCCCTAAAGAATTTCTGGGTGAGTTCCAACTCTTTGTAGTTTTATATTCTCATGTGTCCACCATAACTGCCAGGCACAGAGAAGATGCCCCTGAGTACCTTGCTAAATGAATGAAGATCAACTTTTCATTGTACCATTGGAAACTGGGGCCTGGAAGGGTTAGGTGGCAGCTCAGGGCCAAAAAGCCAGTTAATGGCAGTGTGTGGGGAGGCCCTTGTACTCCAGCCAAGAGACTCCTGGGTTCTTCAGTAGAGGTATAAACAGATGAAGCAAAGAGAAAATAGGTGGAGATGGGCACTTCGTTGGAAAGGTGGGGGGTTCCCAGAAGAGAGCTCCCTGGAATCCAGCGGGCCCCAGACTGAATGGTGCAGTTTCTGTGATCAGAGTGATGAAGCTCGAACCCCAGCTCCAGGATATTCGGGGTCAAGTGCCTTAGGCCAGCCACCTCTGTGTCTTAGGGTCCACTCTTTGATAAAATGCAGATAACAGAGCCTCACTTATAATTCTAAAAATCGCCACGAGATCAATGAGGAAAGCCATATAAAGACTCTTGAACAAGTGCCTGGTACGTAGTAGGGGCTCAATAAATGTCCACGTGGGTGGCACTTTTACCACTCCAGAACAGCCCCTAACCCCTGTGGCAACTTTTCAGGAGGGACAGTTAAAAAGCGAGTACAAATGCAAACGCGTGGTGGGTGGTAAAAGCGACAGTAAAAAGAAAAAAATCCCAATTACGAGCCAGAGGAAGCGTGCTCAGCACTTCCTGTGCCCCCCTGGCCTAGTTTACTAAATCTCCCACGTGCGGGTCCTTCTCAGGTCCGGGTTCGAGTCTCACAGTGACCTTGGACCAGCCTCGTTCCTCCCAGTCTCGGTTTTCTCATCTGCAAAGCGGAGGTGGCGACCCCACTGCCCAGCGCTCCCAAGGGTCCCGAAGAGGGTATCCCGGGCCGCGCCTAGAGTCTCCCGCGCCTGCAGTGGGGTCGCGGGGCACCCGGGCCCAAGTGTCGCGGGGGTGGCAAAACCGCATGTCCCCTGCAGGCCCTCGTAGGCCGGTCTCCATGGCAGCCCGCCATGCCTACCTTCCTGCCGGCAGTAGGCCATGGCTGCAGCCCCGGCACTCAGACCTCGCGGCGACAGCGGTGGTGGCAGCACAGGCGGCGGCGGGCTCACGCTGTGACCTCTTCTCGGGCAGGGCGGGCGGCTCCGACGCCCACGCGGAACGCCCCCTCCAGGACCGCCCGCCGCGCGCCTGCCTCTGCGACCTCCCGGCCCCAAACAGCCGGGAACTACGTTTCCCAAGAAGCCGAGCGCTGCTCGGTTTCTCTTCAAGGCCAGAGGAACTACATATCCCGGAATAACTTGCAGTGCGCAGGCGCATCAATGAGGTACAGCACGTGTTGTAACTCAGTGGTCAAAGCGCCTGACCCCGGACTACATTTTCCAGGAGGCCCTGCGGCGCGCATGAGCAGGAAAGCTGTGGCTCTCTGGGCTGTAACTTTTGCACGTCCTCTCTGATTCCAGGCTTCGCGCGGATTTTCGCAGCTCTTCGTCGGGCGAGAGGCCTCTGGGCTTTGCACTCAGGCGGTCAACCGGTTCTGTAGCCGAGCACAGCGTGGGTGAGCGCCCAGCCGGGTCCCACCATGGCCGCGAACGTGAGTGTCTCCTGGTCTGCTGGACCCCACCCATTTTCCCCATCTCCCCGAAGGGGCCGCCTGGGTCCGTCTTGCCTGCCTGACCCTTGTCTGTGTGGCCGGCCCAGTCTCCCTCTACATGCCCTTGTTCCGGGTTTCCGGCAGCTAATAACGTCCGTTCACCTCTCTTGGTCTGTCCGGACCTTCTTGTCGGACCGCACGTTTGCGGGGAGGGAGACTCAGTGTTGTTCCCGGCATTGGGATCTCCTTGTGCTAGGGCGCCTTCTCGCAGCCCCTCCTTTCATTCTCAGCTCCCACCCGGGCCCATGGGCTTCTCCTTTATGGGCTGTGAGAACTGGACGCGACCTCCGAAGTAGCAGGTCCGCGGGAAGGGTGGGGAAGCCGATACCGCTCAGGTGGAGCTTATTCATCAACTGACAGACTGGGTTGTGCGGGCGGGCAGGGAGTTCCCCGCCCTGGGGAAGCGTGTAAACCGAGGCTGTGATGCTGCAAAGGGGTGCGGGCGAGATTGAGAGCGGAGGAGTTAGGATGACTGTGAGAGGGAGCATTTCCCTCTGCCCAGACCCTTGTCTTCCTAGGTGTATTTGGTTAGAGACGTCATGGCTGCAGGTGCTTCCTTTCAAAAGCCTGTGGGCGGTTTCTCCCTGCAGCCTACCCCTCTCAGGAACCTTTCGATTTAAGATTTAAGCCCAACATTCATTCAAGAAACCGAGCAGCACCTCCCACCGCGGTGCTGGGTGTGGGAGAGTCTGGTGACTCACCACTCCGCTCCTGTGTGAAATTGCTTCTGGAGCCAGCCCTGGTGCCCTGCCAGCCCCAGGATACTCCCTCCCTCCTGCTTTGCTGGAGTGTCCTAGCTGCTCTCCCCTGGCCTGTTACACCCTCCTTCCAGCCCCTCCTCTGTCCCCAAGATCCCTCTCTGCCCCCTACACCCCTGGAGAGGAGGGTTTTTATCACTGACAGCCCTAGTGTGCTCTGCCTCAATTGGAGTTGTCTGAGAGACCTAGAAACTGCGAATGCTGCCCCTGGAAAAATTTCAGAGGTAGTCCGGGACCCAGGGTCTGCCAGGGGAGAGGACAGCCCAGAGACCAGCCTGCCCCCAAACCATGTTCTACAGATGGAGAATTTCTCCCAGCAGGTGAAGGCACTTGCCCAGGGCCTCAGGGGTGGCTTGGCCAGCTACTTCACAGAAAGATACTGAAGACAGCAGGCTTTGGAGTCAGGCAGACCTGGGGGCAAATCCAGTTTCTTCCTGTCAGAAGCGGTGTGGCCCTAATCACTCTGGGTTTGTGTTTCTTCGTGGGATCTATTAGTGTGAAGTTTAAGGGAATTAGTCTGTGCTTCCTACAGTGCCTGGTGCATAGAGGGAGCTTAATACATGAAAAAAAAAACTGTATTCACAGTCTGACACAGATGGCCCTGGTGGGCACAGACTGTCTTGGGTATACTGGCACGTGCCCTTTGCCAAGGAATGTGTATGAATGTGGGTATCTTCTGCAGCCAAACCTTTGCTGAGTCACCCAGGAGCTGGGTGCACGCTTACAGGAGCCACCAGGCCTGGTGAGGAAGAAAGATCTGAAGCTGGTGGGGTAGAGCAGGGAGGCGACAGGATTTCTTAATTGGTATAACAACAGAACTGCCCTATGACAGAGGTACTGTGAACCATCGCCATTTTATATGGGAGTAAACTGGATCAGAGAGGTAGAGCAACTAACGCAGGGTTGCACAGCTAGTAATTCTCAGGGTCTGTGTGTCAGCTTCTGTTCCATCACTCATTGCTCTTTGCTCCTGAGCCTAGAGTGCTCCCTGAGGACCCATGTATATATTCAGCACATATCAAGGAGCCAACATCAAGATAAGGGGCTCAAAGATGACCTTGAAGGGGAAGAAGAGAGGCACTGGAAGATCTCCCTCAGGTTAGGGAAATAGTCCATTAGGGAGATATGGGTGGAGGAAATCACCATCGCCCTCCATTCTAAGACCCTCCATGTTTACTGGGATTTTGTTTTGCAATGTGGGCAGAGTGTGCCCTGTCACAGCCCACCCTACCCCTACCGTAGACTGAGGTACCTTCCTGAGCCTTTCTTTCTTCCCTCCAAACCCTTCCATGAGCTCCTTTCTTTGACATTGGCTCCTAGATGGATGCTGAGGGGAGGCCCAGAAGGAAATCATGGCCTGCTGGCTTCCAGTTTTGGGGCTGTGCTCTAATAGCGGAATGGGCTCCTTTTCCTGACGCTCTCTGCAGTTGGCTCCCAGTGTTCAGCAATCCTTATGGCCCAGTGTTCATCTCCTCCTTATGAGGAATGTGGCTTGGAGCAAAGTGGTCGGAGAATGGCCTCTGGTCTGTCCAGATTTGAAACCTAACTCTCCCTCTTAGAGGCTGAGTGATCTGGGCTGATGACGTAACTGATGAGCCTTGTTTTCCTCATCCGTGAAATGGGATAGCAATAGCTTTCCTGTGCCTGACCTGTGACAGACTGGCGTGTTGCCACTGTCATTATGTTTGATGGTCTCCTACCTGCCTGCAGTGAACTGCTCTACTAATGTTTCCCAGTGGTGTGGAAATTTAAGTCCATTTCTGAATCTAATGGACATCTGGACTCTGGCCGGCCTGGGCTGGGGGCATTGGGGGACAGTCAGAGAATATGGCATCAGCCTTATTCAGGCAGAGATTAACGCGAATCTCTCCTCTGGGCCCCTGTGCCAGGGGCTTGGCTCGCTCTGAGTACACATCTCAGAACCACTTTACACCTTTGTGACTTTTGTCAGCGTATCCCCAGCCAGGGCATTGATCTTGCTGTCCATTGCAGAGAAAGGTGGTAACATTCCCACCCTTTGCACCCGTACATTATGGCCTATGTCCTAGGCACTGAGCTGTCTGATAATTAAGACCTTTGGTTCTTACCAGAACCCTGTATACTGGATTTTTATCCCCATTTTACTGACGAGGAGATGGAGGGCATAAAGGGGTTAATTGCTTGGCCCAGGTCCCGTAGCCTGAATTGAAACCCACTCCTTGTGGCTCTGGAATTCTGCCATTGACAATGATAGTCCGCAATGGCCACACTTCAAACCATACTTCTGTTATTGCCTGGGTGAAGCTTGACGCACTGACGCTACTAGGGATGTACGCTAGGGCTGCCTCTGAGATCTGTATTCAGCACCATCTGTTCAGGCCCTAGAACCTGCTGGGATCCCCCAGCCAGCAGGGGTCCCTCATTTGGCACTGGACCTGCTCCTCACTGAACACTCAGCACGGCTTAGTACTGTTTATGCCTGCAGCTCAGTGGCCCTGCAGCCTCCCCTCACCCCTGCAAGACCCAGCACAGCCCTTGGGAAGCTGAAGTGTTCCAGTGTTGTTCAAGTTTGTGGAATCGAATTAATAATGTATGTCTGATAACCTTTTTGTAAAACAGTTTGGCAGTTTCTTAAAAACACACATTGTCCCTGTGATCCAGCAATTTCCCTCCTCCATGGGTACTCGTTACCCAATACCCAAGGGAAATGAAAGCACATGTCTTCGTAAAGACTTGTACAGGAATGTTCATGGAAGCATTGTTTATAATAGCTAAAAACTGGAAACAATCAAAATACCCATCCACTGGTGGCCGAGTCAGCAAATGCTGTATGCTCCTAGACAGAGTACTACTGGGCCATGTAAAGGAATGAGCTACCACCGCAGTGTAGATGACCCATCTCGGAATCTGGACAGAAAAGAGGTTGTGCTGTATGATGGCCCCATTTATATCAGCTTCCATAAGAGGCAAGATTCATCTGTAATGATACAAACTCAAGGAGTTGTTACCACTAGGAGGTGGGAAGAGAGGAGTGTTAGCAGGAAAGAGGCACAAGGTAACTTCTGGGATGATAGAAGCGTCCCGTATCTTGATCTGGGTGTCCATCAAATGGGATAAGCATTTGTCAAAACCCACCAAACTTTATGCTTAATATCTGTGCATTTTTACTGTATATAATTGAAACTAGTATATACAAATAGCAAAATTCAATTTACTTTTTAAAAAACTGATTTTCATTTTGATTTCTTAAAATATTTTTTCCTCAGTATTCCAGTACGACTAACAGGAGAGAACATGTCAAAATGACAACCAGCCCCCAGCCAGGCTTCTTGGAACGGCTCAGCGAGACCTCGGGTGGGATGTTTGTGGGGCTCATGACCTTCCTGCTCTCCTTCTACTTAATTTTCACCAATGAGGTAAAATGTCTGGCATCCCTCTGTGCAGAGTGAGGGTCCCTGCAGTATCAGAGAGCAAAGGCTATGAATCCAGAGGCTGGATGTGCTAATAGGGCCTACCTAGATTTTACAACAAGTGGGGTGGAGGGGGAGGGTGATGGTGCTGAATTAATCAGAATTCTTTCTCTTGTGACCTGTCTCATAACTGCCCTAAGTAGGAAGACAAATGGGTTGGTTCACATGCCTAAAATCCTGGGGTGGCAACAGGTTCAGGCATGGCTGGATCCAGGTGTTCATGTTGGGTCCCTAGGAGTCTCCATTTTTCCATCTGTTGCCTCTTAACTTAGCAGCCCCATCTCTTCCAAAATCAACTTAGCAACAGTTGCAGAGAAATGGGTTAGTGTCCCGGCTTTTCTCAGTCCTCTCTCTGAACTAATCCCTGTGGACAGTGGACCCATGTTCTGATTGGCTAGGCCTGGGTCACATGTTTTGGGCAGCAGTACAGATGGGCCCATAGAAACTATAAGGACTCAGGAGTGAAGGGAAAAAGGCAGAGTAAGATGGGGGGGGCACACAGACAAAAGCACCAGCTGTTCCCAGCATGGGGTGGTGCTGAGAATTAGGGGGGTTGGGGTGTGCAGCAAGAAGAGGGCTGCCTGGGAAAGCAGGAGTCTTTGGCGCCAGTTCCAACCGTGCCACTCGCCAGGCCTCAGTTTTCCAACTGTAAAATGGGGAGATGAGTCTCCATGCTTCCCAAAGCCCCAGGCTGCTGGGATACACTGCCATGAGCACAACTGTTGAACCACACCTAAGTTGAAAGGTGGCCTCACTCCCTTTTGCTCACAGGGCCGTGCACTGAAGACAGCAACTTCCCTGGCTGAGGGGCTCTCACTTGTGGTGTCCCCCGACAGTATCCACACCGTGGCCCCAGAGAACGAGGGAAGGCTGGTACACATCATTGGGGCCCTGCGGACATCCAAGGTACATTTGGGAAAGGTTGCTGACCCCACCAGATGCTCAGGGCACGTGGCTGGATGTTGTCTGGGTGAGGCTTTTGAGCACGTGGGCTCTGGAGGTGGGCACACATGTGTGACTCCTGGCCGCATCACTCAGCAGCTGTGTGGACCAATCACTTGAGTCTCAGCATCTTTATCTATAAAATGCAGAGCATACCTCCTCTGAGCAGTCAGTGGGATTAGGTCTCTCACCTCTCGGCACGGTGCTTGGCCCACGGCCAGAGCCTTACAACAAGGTGCTTTAGCAGTTAGGCTCAGCGTGTGTGGCTGGCACAGGGCTGAAAGGGACTCCAGTTGTCGGATCTCTTGTGTTTGGACCCTAAGTACACTGTTGTTGGTGCCATGCCATCGGACCTTGCCAACCAAGCCAGGACCATGAGGCTCCCAGTCCCCGGGCAGTGGGTGTGAAGGACTTAGGATGGGCAGCCTCACCCGACTCTCCCGCCCGAGATAGCCATGGTAGTCTCCACTGTGTCCCTGTCCTTTGTGCCTTTCTCTTGTCCAGTCCCTCTTTCTCTGGCATCCTGGGCTCATGGGAGCCTTGGCCTCTGTTCTGTGTTTTTGACTTGTGTGATTCTTTTTGAAGCTCTTGTCTGATCCAAACTACGGCGTCCGCCTCCCAGCTGTGAAGCTACGCCGGCACGTGGAAATGTACCAGTGGGTGGAAACTGAGGAGTCCAGGTGAGGGGCCAGGGACTGAAGCAGGAATACTGGAGTGACAGGTGTTGGGATACAACACAGGTGGCTTTTGATCTTGATGCTTCTAATGAGAGTGGCTCCAAGAAGGAGGGAGGACGAATTAGCCCACTTGTGTACTACCCCATCGGGGGATGCCCAGGCTCGAGACGTGTCTGGATCCAGGCTGCAGACAGTGCTTTCCTATGTGTGGGCTCTGTGTCCTCTCCCAGACCAGAGTAGAGATGGCCTCGAACTATGTCCTGTCTGTTCTAGTACGAGTCTGAGGGCAGGCGTCCTTAGGCAGGCAGGGGCCCCTTGGAGCTGAGCAGCATGGACTGTGAGTGAGGGGTGAGGAGGTGGCTAGGGGAGTCAAGGTAGCCGGAGAAGGGGGGGCCTCCGTGGGGCTGTCCGGCACAGAGGGTGCGGCCAGGTCTCTGAGCTCAGGGCAGGGCTGCCGCCCTTGGTGTGGGCCTAGTGGAAGCACATTTCAACTCAGGATGAGAAAGCTCTTTTCTTCAGCGTGGGCCTTCAAGGGGGTGGAGAGGACTGCATGGTGGGGAGTCAGCACTCTGTTACCGGGCTGCTCCAGACAAGGTCTGCTCTCATTTAGGGATTTTGACCTGGTGGCCCGAGTTGCTTCCAGCTGGAGATGTTTAGAGATGGGAATGCTTCTGGGGTGAGAGGCTAACTCTGGGGCTGCCTGTGCTTTCCCCGCAGGGAGTACACTGAAGATGGGCAGGTGAAGACAGAGACAAGGTACTCCTACAGTGAGTACCGCCACCCCCCATCCCCGCATACATGGGGTCTCTGCCCTTAGTGGAGACTGACGGCGGTGGGGAAGGCGTGGAACCAGGCATCGGAAACCCTGGGTGCCGGTCCTCAGGGTCCTGCTCTTCCATCCAGTGAGGCTCCAGGAGCCACCCTTCCAGCACTGAAGTGACCACAGGCTTAGATAAAAGGACACAGAGCCAGTGGGCCTCAGACATGTGGCCGCTCTTACCATGTTTCTGAGTTGTTCCCTCTCCCTGTGACAGACACCGAATGGAGGTCAGAAATCGTCAACAGCAGAAATTTCGACCGGGAGATTGGCCACAAGAACCCCAGGTGAGAGCTGGGTGCCCAGGCCTGAGCACAGTCTTGCCTGCTCCTCAAGGGTCCCCAGCCTCAGCTTCCTCATCTGAGTGATGGGATTGAGTTCCTTCTGCCTCGTGAACTGATGAAAGTTGGGGACTTGGTTCTGAGGCCAACTCCCAGGCTGGGCAGGACCCAACTTCCTGAGCCCACACAGGCTCCCCTCACACTAGTCAAGAACAAAAGGCCTGGACCGAGTGCCTGAAGGAACTTGCATGTCCAGAGCCAGGGTGGGAATAGCCATGTGGGTGGGAAGATAATCAAGAAGGGTGTTCAGGAGGCAATGGAATTTGATGTGGGCCTTTGTAGGATTTTGGCAGAGAGCAGCTAGGTCAGAGAAATGGAGGTGGTGAGGTGGTCTTAGCGCTGGAGCGTGGCTTGGGCAGGGCTGTGCCTCCTGGCACAGGGGTTGGGAGCTCCTTGGGGCTGGGAAGGGTCAGGGAGGCTGTGAAGTCCACAGAAGGTCCATCTGACAATAGGTGGCTGGGGAGGGACAGGCCGGTAGGGGCCTAGGCAAGGAGGTACGAAGCACTGGGCCATAGGAGACAGGAGGAGGGTGCTTTACTCAGACGAGGAGGACAGGAGCATCCTGGGGTAGGTGTGGTGAAGACAAAGTGCCTAGGCTGGTCTGGACTTGCAGGAGCCCCCCGGGTGGGAATCCTGCCGGGCATAACCCAAAGAAACCCGCAGAGCTCCTGGCCGGCGCCGTACTCTGCTAGTAGCGCCTTCTCTCTCCCACAGCGCGATGGCGGTGGAGTCGTTCACGGCCACAGCCCCCTTCGTCCAGATTGGCAGATTCTTCCTCTCGGCGGGTGAGTCTCCAGCCCCTTCAGATGAGCCAGCAGCACCCAGAGGCCCTGTGCTTCTACTTGGCTGCCTCCCAGGAGTGGTGCGGTACAGGTGTGGGATGAGCCTGCCGGAGGGAAGGCAGGTCCCAGGAGTAGGGGGACTTGTACAGAAGAGTCCCACCCCAGCCAGGCTCCTCCAAGACATGGTCTCTTCCAGAGAATAACTACCAGGCCTTGCTGGTGCCTAATCTGATCAGACAAAGCTGAGAGCCAGTGATAGAGACAAGGCCGCCCCCCAAGGGGTGAGCAATTCATTGCAGGCAGCCACCCCCCCAAGTGACTCCAAAGAGGTTCTTCAGGGACAAGGCAGCACCTGGCGTGGGAGAGAAAACATGTAGGCACCAAGTAGCCAGGGCAGGGGAGGAGGGGTGGAGTCCCAGCGCTCCACCAGGAAGCTCCAGGGCCTAGCTTATCTGCTATCTGCCTTGTCGCTTCACTGGTGGCTGCTGTGCCAGGCAGCCCCAGCCTCAAGGGTACTGCATGCAGCAGGGGACCCAGGCACAGACAGGTAACGGCATCCGAGGCAGAAGGGGTGCAGGGCTCAGGCTGTTCCCAGAGCTGCAGTGGCTCCTGCTGGCTGGGAGGGCAGACAGGAAGGCTTCCTGGAGGAGGCAGAGACTGAAGGGGACCCCCGCAGTACAGAAGGAGGGGTTGGAGAAGGGTGCTTCCGGTGGGAAGGAGGTCAGGCCAAGGGGTGTGCCGATGGGGGGAGGTTGTTTGCACACCACTGTTGTGACCGCTGCACACTCCCCAGGCCTCATTGACAAAGTGGACAATTTCAAACCGCTGAGCCTGTCCAAGCTGGAGGACCCGCACGTGGACATCATTCGCCGGGGAGACTACTTCTACCACAGCGAAAACCCCAAGTATCCAGAGGTACGTAGGGGCTTTGGCTGCTCACACAGCGGAGATCAGTGCCCTGGGAGTACCGCCCCTTGGACAACACACAGGGGACACATTCCTGCTTGGGACACGGTTTCGATTCAGTTGAACTGCTTGGCCAAACGAGATCGGAGGGGAGAAGCCTCGAGGTGCTGGGAGCACCTGGGCAACAGTGTGCAGGCGGGAAGAGCGTGTGAGCTTTGGGATTCAACGGTGCCATGGACACAGGCCCAGGCTGGCTGCTCCTGGCGTACCCCAGCCCACTTCTCTTCCACCCCCAGGTTGGAGACCTGCGCGTGTCCTTCTCCTATGCAGGGCTGAGTGGCGACGACCCTGACCTGGGCCCAGCTCATGTGGTAACCGGCTTCCCCAGGGCCGAGCCAGGCAGGGCCTTCTCAGCTCCCACTGTGCGCGGTGCCCTGAGTGGGGGGACCCCTCCTCTAGGCCACGCGTGCATGCACTCCCCTCCGTACCCGGGCGGCCCTGCCTCTGAGCGGCTTCAGAGCCCGTGAGCTGGACAGCTGTCTGCGGGCGTCCGTGGGCCACAGGTTACGGGGCTGCTCCCGGGCAGCTTTGCGGGGACTGCCTAGTGATGCTGGTGAGAGTTCTGCCAATTGCGTGCAGCTTTTCTTCCCCCCGGCCCCTAGTTTTTGCCTATAACTATTCGGTCTCAGGTGCCTGACCCTGTCACCTGAAGTCCCAGCCCTTCCCCTGCGCAGGGTCCTCCCTGGAGCCTGAAACAAAGCAGCTCAGCCCAGCTGCCCCGGGGGCACACAGCGCGAGGGGTGCTGGGCCGGGCCAGGCTCTGATGCTCAGGTCTCTGAGCAGGTCACCGTGATCGCCCGGCAGCGGGGTGACCAGCTACTCCCCTACTCCACCAAGTCTGGGGATACCTTGCTTCTCCTGCACCATGGGGACTTCTCGGCAGAGGTGAGTCGCTGCGGCTCCATTTGTGTGAGGGAAGGGAAGGCAGCTCCCTCCCTCCCCATCCCCGCCCGGGGTTATTCAGTCCGTACGGGGGGCATGGCCCGTGCAAACGGAAGGAGTAAGCCTCCCTGTGTGTGCAGCATGAAGGGGAGAAGAGGGAGCACAGCACACCCCTCCTACTCCTCAGGCTTCTAGTCTCCTGTGGGGGCGACTCGCCAGAAGAAGCAGTGAGGGAGGATACCCTTGTGCTGAGTGTTGTGAAGGGGAGAAGAGGAAGGCAGAGGAGGTCAGCAGAGGGGTCAGTGGAGGCCTCTCTGAGTGACAGTTTGGCTGCATCACAAGTGAAGAAGGTGGACTCAGAGCCAGCAGCATGTGGGGGTCAGGCGGTCACTGAGGCAGGAACGGGAGCACCAGGGTTCCCCTGGCAGGTGCTGCCCAGAGGAGGCAGGGCTACCCCGTGGGCAGGGGCCTCCATAGGGGTGTGGGACTTCTTTCAGAGCTTCAGGAAAGTGGGGGGATTTAGGGCCACAGAGTCCTGGACGGGAGTGAGGGCCGTACCCCATCCCCATCTGTAAACTGGGGAGGGTCATGTGTCACTGGAGTCCTGTCCTTGCGCTGATCGTGGGTAGTTCTGTTGCAGGCCCTAAAACTTAGCCTCTCTTCTCTAGGCAGAAACCCTTCTCTTTAATGGAAAAATTGTTTTGCATTGTTGGTGAACACCGTGTGTCACTGGTGGGAAGTTCTGTGCTTGCCTGGAGTAGGACTGCAGGACTTTGCAATCCGTAAGAGAAAGGGCTAGTGGCAGGGGGGATAGGGCGTAGCTGTGGCCTTCCAACCCTGTTATTAGGCCCTCAACTGCTGTCTTTCTCACTTTAGCCCCCAGCTCCAGGTGGTGATGGGCCTGGCCTTTTCCTTTATCCAGGACCAGGGTGTGGCAGCCGGTTACCAGCCTTGGGGCGCAGCTGCCACCTCCCACTTGGGCAGGCATGAGTCACCCTTTCCATCAGCCGCTCTCAGGGACTTTCTAAAATTAGGAGGCCCTGCTGAGGCCACCTCTCTCTCCAGCAGCTCTCTGCACTTCAGCCCCCTGCACGTGGAGGCCCGGGTCTCCGCGCTGTCCCCCCAGAGAGGAGTGGCCTCCAAACTTCCCAAGTGGGAAGTCTCGGACCACACTGACCACCCTGGGCCTCCGGCACAGGGTCTGGGGTCTCTGCCAAGCAGGGAGAGAAGGTCCTGAGCCATAGAGGTGGTGAGGGCCCTGAGGAGGAACCCAGACCCCGTGAGTCAGGACGCCCAGATTCCAGTCCCAGAGGCAGGAGGGTTGTGCATGGACAAGTGTGGACGCCGGACATGGCCCCAGTTCAAGCCCCGCTCTGCCTTCCATAGGCTACAAGACTTTGGGCCCATTGTTTATCTTCTTGGAGAATAAGAATTATGATCCCTACTTTATTTAGTTGTTGTAAAGATTATGTATCCATTTATTCTGAGGCTCAGTTTCCTTATCTGTAAACTGGAGATGAGCATATCTACCTTGTGAAGTTAGTTTCAGGTTTAAGTAAAGCAATGCTGGAAAGCACTGAGGACAGTGACTGATAGATGGCAGATACTAAGTGTTAGCTGCTGTAACTGTTATTGTCCTAGATAACGACAGGGGCTTCTCCAAAGAAATGCCATTCAGGCCAACACTGGAAGAAGTGTGGGAGCTGGCTGGGCAGGACTGTGGGCAAACCAGCTCCAGGGGGAGCCAGCACATGTGCAAAGGCCCGGGGGCAGGAGGTGGACACTTGACCTGGTCCCAGACAGGCGGCAGGGCCTTGGCTGAGGGCCATGGGGGAGGAAGTGACGGAAGCAGGGAGACCAGTGGGAGGAGGCTCTTGGAGTGGTCCTGGTGAGAAATTGTAACGGTGGTGAGAGATTTGGGGAAACGGGGACACAGCATTGATAGGATTTAGGTGGTCCCTGGATTTAGGTGGTCCCTGCAGGGAGGCACAAGCCGTGAAATACCCCAGTCGTGGCTTGTGCAGGCAGGAGGTGGCTATAGCACTCAACTGAGGGGGATCCGACAGAGAGGACCAGGTGTCAGGGAGGCTGCAGGGTCGATGTTGGACAGCATGTGGGCAGCGGAAGGCCCAGCCCAGGGCTGTAGCTGGAAGCTGGGGGTGGGGGGCACTGGTGGGGAGGACATGGGTCTGATGCTGCCGCTGAGGTGCAGAGGGCAGCCCGAGGGAGGGGGCAGCTGCAGGCGCGGAGAAGCAGGGGCGACGTGGAAGGTGAGGCATGTCAGAGTCGCAGGAAGAGCATCTGAGGTGAAGCACCACGCACACTGCTGTTAGAGGGAGGACCGGGTGCATGCCAGCCGAGGCGATGGGCTAAGGACTCTTACCTTCACCTACGGGGCAGACGCTTAGGCCTGGGCAGGCGAGGTGCCCTTATGTCCTGTCTGCTCGGAAATGGCCAGCGGCTCCTAGGTGGGCATGGAATGCACCCCTTGGCACCTGTCCTGCCAACCGGGGAGACTGGGGGGCCCTGGGAGATCGGAGACGTGACACCTCTCCTCGGCCTTGTCCTGCAGGAGGTGTTTCGTAGAGAACAGAAGAGCAACTCCATGAAGACATGGGGCCTCCGGGCTGCCGGCTGGATGGCCATGTTTATGGGACTCACCCTCATGACCCGGATCCTCTACACCTTGGGTAGGTGTGCAGACAGGTCAGGGGAGATCTTGTTCACCCTCGTGTGGGCCCGTGTGCCGCCTCTGTGCTGCTCACACCGCCCGTGGCCCTTTCCAGCCCGCAGTGCTCTCCGGGGCCAAGAGCAGGCATCTGGTCCATGTCTGTGTCCTGCTCCACAGCACTGGGCTGAATGGGCCGAGGAAGACAGACATGAAGGATAAAGGCTTTCAGGGGTGGGGTGAGGAGTGCCAGCTCCTAGGAGGCTGGTCTAGCCCTGGGGATCTGAGGGCCATCTGTCCTCAGCCCACCTGCTCCTTCCTTTAGCCCTTTACTCCACAAGTGAAGAAGCACAGCGAGCAGGCTAGCCAGCCTCTGCAGTGAGCCAGCCCTGGAATCGGTTACATCAGAGTTCTGGGACACTGGGGCTGTGCTCTTTCCTGTCTCAGCTTCAGTTACCTCACCTTGTAGGCAGAGTTTTGTGAATGTTTGGCAAATAGGAAACACCCCCCAAACCATGTGGTTCCCTCCCCACACCAAGACCTGGGCCCAGTTTGGGGCAACCAACAAGTTGGAGCACAAGGCAGAGTGCTGGGCGACACACTTGGCCAGAGTTGGCACCCGTGAGCCCAGCAGTTGCCAGGTGACCCAGCCTGGTGTAGGATGAGGCCCTGGGTGACTGAGTAAGTGCTGGCCCCACACTGTTGATCTGGGAGGATGGCATCTCAGGGGACTCACAGGCAAGCCTTTACCCCAGTATGTCCATACCGAATCTGCTGACTGTGTCCAGCCTGTGCCGGGCCACACGGAAACCTCTCCCCTCTTTACCCTTTCTGGCTGGGAAGAGGTCTGGTGACAGTACCTCCCAGGCTAGGAGGAAAAAGGACACTTCCCCTCCAAGGCATTCTCGGAGTCGGTCAGAAGTGCAGGTGGAGTGACTGGGGAAGTTACAAGGCAGAAGCCCTCATTCACTGTTCTCTTCAGGCAGTGAGTACTTATTGAGTGCCTGCTGTGTAGGACACCACTCTAAGCTCCAGAGAGAAATGCAATGAGCAGAACAAAGTCCCTGTCCTCTCAAGGCTCAGAACCACGGCTAAGAGCTCAGGTTCTGGGCTCAGACAGTCTTGGGTTTAAAACCTGGGTCTGGCACTTTCTAGCTGCAGGACATTGGGCAAGTTGAACTCCCTGGGCCTCAACGACCTTGTGGGTAAAAGGAGGGTAAGAATAATACCAGCCTCCCCAGGCGGGCACAAGGGTTTGAAGAGATGGTCCACACGGTGCCCAATATATGGTCAATGCGCAAAAACATTAACTCTGCTTATTAGGAGGGCCATGGTGGGGTATTGGTGGGAGCAGACCAAGAGGAGCCAAGAAGTGGCCTGTAGGGTCCTGTAGTCATGGCAGGGCAGCAGGCCTTGCTCTGCAAACCCAGTGGCAACAGACTGCGGGGGCCTTCTGGAACTGAGGGGGAATTCCCCCCACGGACTGACATCAGCTGGGGAATGCCAACCTGGAGGGATAGACAGGCCAAGGACAGAGTAAGTCCAGATGGATTAACTGGGTCCTAGACTTCACCATACTGGGCCAGTTTGGCAAATGGAACATGCCACCATTGCGACCAGACGTCTTCTCTTGGCTTCCGACTGAGAGTGACATCCACAGTCTTAAAGGCTACAAGACACTTCCACCTGCCTGCTCCTGGAGCGGTGCGTGGTACCAGGGGCACACACCTTCTCTGGATCCACCAGCTCTCACGGGAGGCTGTTCGCCTTCTGCCCCAAACCCCTGCCTGTCCAGACTGGACATCATCAGCCCATCCTCGTCTACAGACAGGAGCGACCTGCTCACCTCATGTGATGCAGAGCCTGGTGGCCTCAGAAGTCTCACCAGCTTTCTCTTCCCCACAGTGGACTGGTTTCCCGTCTTCCGAGACCTGGTCAACATCGGCCTGAAAGCCTTTGCCTTCTGCGTGGCCACGTCGCTGACCCTGCTAACCGTAGCTGCCGGCTGGCTCTTCTACCGGCCCCTGTGGGCCCTCTTCATCGGCTCCCTGGCCCTGGTGCCCATCATCGTTGCTCGGACGCGGGTACCGGCCAAGAAGCTGGAGTGAATCAGGCCCTGGCACCCAGCCCCACCCGTGTGAGCTTCGGGATCCTGCTCCTCCCCCTCTCCCCCCGCCCCTCTTGACCCCAAATCAATTTTGGATTCTGCGCCTGCTCCGCTTCTTGAGGGGCCACACTTGGCTATGTGCACAGGTGTCAGGTACTGGTTTACATGTTCCCCCCCCGTTTTGCTTGCCAGTGGGCAGCTCTGGGGAGCAGAAGGCAGTCCCCATCTGGCGGGGTCACAGGTGTCTCCTTGCTTCCTTCCCTTCTCTTGGGACTGTGTGTGGCCGGTTCACATGTTTCGCTTAGCTGAAATCTGCAGACTGGGAGGTGGTAACACTGCACAGACTGCTGCCCGATCACTTGCCGCACCCCTCTCCTTGGAGACAAGTGCCAGGGCTCTGTCATAGTTGGTGTCCACTGTGAGCCCACGGGGCCGGCGTTCTCGCTGTCCCTGAGCAGGGCTGAGTGCCAGGACAGACTGAGCACACTCCCCTCCCCGCCCCATGCACAGGCGCCCCCCACCCAGCCTGGGCACAGAATCCGCCTTGGTACTCAAAAAAGAGGACTTCCCCTGAGGTCATGGTGAGGAAAATGAGACATTTGGTGGGCTTGATGTGTATTTTATGGTTTGGCCAGAAACTTATTTGTGTGTAGGATTTCCAGAGGTCCCGAAAGTTGTTTGCCTTTGTTATATGCTTCATGGGTCTTCTACCCGAAAAGGGAATTGTTTCAAATCAGATTCAAACAAAGCCCTGCTTAAATGATGAGCCATTCAGACTGTTACAGAAAAACTCCTTATAATCTGTCCGTTGAAGTTCATTCAGGCACAGGAATGTATGAAACGGAGGTGTGACTTACTGGTTTAAGAAAGTTTGCTCTGTCAGTACTTGGGGCCAGTGGAAGGCTCGAAGATGCTTTTGAAGCCAGCGCTTGCCGAGGGCTTCCATTCTGGGAGGAGATGGGAATTTGTACGAGGCGGGGAAAGGCATTTCCTTTCATCCTCTGGCATCAGAAACTACCGATTTCCTTGAAGATGAATTTTGAGTTTTTAGCTAACCATTAAAGGAAAAGGTGGGAAGCTTTCCTAAGTGGGCTCCCTCAGCGTGACCCCCATCAACTTGAATCAGGAACTGGAGGCCTGAGGCCTGTGCAGCTCTCAGGCCTCATTCCTTTCACTGGGGGACAGAGGGGTGAGGCTTTCCCTTAAGCCACTGGGCACCTGCCGCTGAGTGACTCCTAGAACGTCCGTAGCTTCCCTGCTATGTACAATCTACGTGTACTTCACCCTGTTCCCTCTCACCCCCCGCTGAAAGATCGAGAATGTTGTCACCTTGATGGTTTAAAAGATCCTTCGTGTACCCTTTATCTTTTTATGACTTGGACTTGGACTTACTCTCCCTGGCTGGGAATGGCTGCTTTCGCTAATTGGTTGGTGGTTGAATAAGTGATGGGAACTCGCAAAACTAGCATCCTAACAATCTCGTTAGCCTGCGAGGTCTGTGGTGGCTTGAGATTCTTCACGCCGACAGCTGTCCCCAGAGATGACATTTCTCGATCTAAGAACTGATACAGTATTCACTGCTGCAGTTGTCACTGAATCTCTAACCTCTTAAAGGATGCTTCTGGAAAACAGTATGACTAGGTGGTAGCTATCTGTGGGATTTGGTTTGTGTAACTTTTTCTGGTACAGATTTTAAATTACTACAAATTTCAGTCATGTTTTTAAAAGAGCAAAAGAATGTTAAATATTTGAAGTCTTTGGGAAATCATGAAATTTGTATTATCTTTGTATTTTTTGATAAAAATTCAAAATAAATTTTAAAATAGCTTTTATAGGACCTTGCCGTCACTCTTTTTTTGAAATTTCTCTTAAATAATTCAGCCACAGAACTAAGAACCAAATGAATTTTTAGAATTCAGTTCTAAGCTTTTAGTGGTTAAAATAGGTTTCTATTTTTCTTAAAAGGGCAGCTCGATACTTTTAGCACTTTGAAGCCTTACCTACCAAAGCCCACTTTGTTTTTGGATTGATTTAAAGGACTCAAACCTCCCCCAACTTCAGAATGTGTCAGAAGAGGTGGCTGGAGCCACAGTGGGACACCATGTGACAGGGCCCCTCCACCCTGGGGCTTTAGGTCGGCACAGACCCGAGTTCCAGCCCCAAGCCTGGCTGTGCGACAGTGGCGAGTCTGCGATCCCTGCCTCTCAGCTTTCTCATATAGAAAATGGCGGTGAGGCTGTTCTCCCTCCAGCACCAAGCCCATGACGTGCCTGCCGTGTGGCACAGCACCTTTTCCCTTTTTGCCTCCTGTTCAGAAGCAGTGGGCAGCTGCTGACTGTCTGCCCTGGAGCTGACAATTTGTGTACTCTTTGCCACAAGATCTGAAGCAGGTGATTTCCCAAAACCACCTCTTCTTTGTCAGACCTGAGGTTCGGTTCCATAATGCCTCCAAGGAGCAGACATCAGCCGGAGTAACAGGTTGCTTGCTTCTAGGGTCCGGAAGTGCAAGGCTCTGCGGTTTCCACAGCAACCCCGGTTTGTTGTTCCACACCAGCCCTCCAGCCAAGCTCTCACTGCAGATGAGTCACACCCCAAGTGTTTTGTTTGTTTCCCTTGGATAGAACTGGCTCCAATTTTTAACGGCTCCTGTCAAAGGTTAAGTAACATCTCTCCTCACTTGAACGTAGGAAGAAAAATTTCCATGTGTGGAATGATGAGTTCCCGGTCTACCTGAGAACAAAACCTGGTCTTTAGTCTCATATGTGGACAAATCACTCTGTCATGTGGGTGTTCTTAGCCGACCATAAATCTGAAACAAAAATGCAGAGCTGTCTTTTTAGGTAAATGTTTTATTTTTTTCCTCAAAATGTTACAAAAGTTATTTCTCCTGAATATCTACAATGCATAGAGCTTTTATAAACTTATCCACGGTGGATAAAATCTGGTTGACACTAATCCACTTTCACCAACATTTCTTTAACTCTCAGTGTGTTTCCTTTCCTGATTTCAGCTCTTGGTTTGAGTCTTCTGACACCCTGAAATGTTACTTCCAAAAGTGGGTCCCGCTACCACCGTAATTGGAGATGCCCTTACTTCCCAACTTGCTTTCCCTACCCCATGAAGAGGCAGCATTAGGCAGTGTTAGTACATCTGGCTGAGAGAAAAAGGCATGGCCCAGAGAGAAAGGCTCCACCAGCTGCAGGAGAGGCAAAAGCATGAGGGTCTGACAGATGAAGAACTCATCTGGAAGAAGGGACTGGTGCATTTCTAAATCACCCAGTGGTTTCTGTAAGAAAATGGACTCCTGTTTCCAAAGGCGGGCTGAGCAACATCGAGGTGGTGGGGGAGTCTCCTGGGAAGTGTCCCAGAGCTCAAAGTATAGGGTGCGGAGACGGACAGCTCTGAAAGCCCTACCCCACATCTATCCAACAAGGCCCTGGGCCAGACCAGACCCACAACACCCCCTCAGCTTAATCCCTCTGTGCCCGGCCCTCGTCCATAGCACACACTGCTTCTCTGCCTTCTCAGAGGAGATACCACAGCCACCAGGGCCGGCGCGTCCCCCAAAGCAGGTGTGGGGTTCAACAGGTGGCCACTCCCATCACAGCCTCTCAAAAGGGAACAGGTGGGAGGCCGAAGCCGCCTTCTCCCTTTTGGTCTTCTTAGGGCACTTTGGCTTCTGTTCTTCTTCAGCCTCTCGGTTCTGGGGCCAGGAGGCAGCCAGGATCCTCGATGCTTCTGCTTGAGAGCTGGTCCCCTCCTCCTCATCAGAAGACAGCCCACCTCCGGCAGGTCCTTGGAGAGCTCTCTCCTCTCTCTGGATGGGGAGGGACAATGGTGGGCCTCGAGTAAGCCATCAGATGGCAGGGAGCACCGCCAAAGGGCAGTCAAGCCCCCAGCAGCAGCCACCCCAACCCCCCACCCCCAAGCCAGTGGCTTTGGGAGGGCAGGGAGGGTCACCACATGGGGCTGGGGGAGAGCCTTCCTCACACTGGGGACTCCAGCAAGCAGGGACTGGAGAACTTGCTCTGGGCTCAGTGCTGGGAAACACAAAAATGTTTATGCGGGGACCGTGCTCAGGGAGCGTACAACCGAATGTAGATCACAGGACTGATGCTTTGCACTTCTTTACCTCACTTCTGCACAAAAGCGCACTAACGTCTTCAACTGCACAGGACCAGCTTTCTGTGCCAAATGCTCCGAGGAGACACTCCCTGACTGGGACCCGCTGGGGAGCTGGGCATGGAGGGTTTGGATGCAGGTAGAACACGTGGGTGGACAAAATCAACACAGAGCCTGGTGAGAGGTCACCCAGGGGATTTGAGGGAAGAGCGTGACAAAAATATTTTGCCAGTTTTAAAGGCAAACTGGCAGCATGTGGAGTTGCAGACAGGGAGAAAACGGGTGTGGTTATAGCTATTCCAAGAGCACATTTCCAACCCAATACTGATCTCACCACATAACCATGTGGAGGGGCCTCTGCCCCTCTGGGAGACCCTCTGAGGGTGACACATCCACCTCACACAGGCTGGCCCAGCCCAGGGCAGGTACCATGAAAAACGACTTAAGTGAGCAACCCCAGGCCTGGAGGATAGTCACAGGCACAGGAAGTGCGGCCAGGCTACGGAGGGCACGTCAAACACAGACACACATGGTGCCTGTCCCTTCCTGGATGGGCTCAGCATGAGCTCAGACCCCAGCAGGCACCTGCTTGTGGCAGATGGGAGCAGGAAAAGGGGGTTGTTGGGCTGAGGGCTGGAAGGACAGCTGAGGCAGACTCCAGGGACACCGTTCCCAACAAGGAAAGTTAAGGACACAGGTGCCTCAGAGACACAGAACTCTGGTGACAAAACACAAGGCATCTCTGGGCAGAATCCGGGCCCAGGGTTCTGAGTCCCCCTCTTCCACCTGAGCTTGTCTCTTTCCAAAAAAGCCACACTGACCTTGTCCCCATAGCGAAGCTTCAGCCTCTCCCTGATGAGTAGTCCCCTGACCAGCAGCTTCCAGTTCCCGAGGGCCCGTTTCTCTCTTTTCTGCAGGCAAAACAAAGAACACAAAATGTTAAGTACTGTCACTTTCAGGGAAAGTGTCTAGATGGAACCTATGAACATCTGAAGATCTAAAGATCCAAAATAAGATTCTTTGGTTAAAAGAGTTTCTCAACCATGCCACGTCTGTTTTAAAGGAGCATGATTTTATAACGTGATGCATGTAAAAGGCACCAAAACAGAAGCCTCTTTTTAACTGTTAGCAACTTGAACATCTTTAAGGAGGAGGCTTGGACCACCGGCAATGCCTTTCAGCAAAGGCAGTGGTGGATGGCAGGTGCGGCAGCCACCAGAGCCGGGATCCAGGTACACAGTGGACAGGGATGCTGGATGGTGAGGTACAGACAGGACCCTGTTTATCCAGGGCTGGCTCCCTAGGTTGCCCTCTGCCGTCTGAGAGCTGGAAAGAGCTTCGGGGCCCGCGATCCCTCATGTTACCCACAGTGCAAGTGAGGCACCTGCCCCCACGTGGGGGCTCGTGTTCCCTGCCCTTCTGCTTTCACCTCAGGCCCCCACCCAGCCCGCCCCGGCCACATGGCTCACCTCCTTCTCCCGCTTCTCAATGAGTGCCTGCTCCTTCTCCCAGGCAGCTAGGAGTACATCTTTGTATTCCTCGCAGACAATGTACCCATCAGTTCTGTAAGGATGCAACATGGATGGCCTTACTTGAGGCTGCCGCCTCCGGCCTCGCCTCCCTCTGGCCTCGCCTCCCCCTTGCCGAGGCCAACAGCTGCTCCCCCCAAAATTTCCAGCATCAGGTATCTGCAGTCCCAGCCCTAGCTGCCGACAGCACCCCTGCAGGAGGCAGGCCTCTGGACTCCGGCCCTGCGTCTTCCCCAGGCCCACCCCCACCCGCTGGGATGACAGAGGTCACCTAACTAAGTAGCGTGCTGACCTCGCCTGGTCCCTTGTCCCCAAACCCCAGGAGACGGTTTTCATCTAGCATCATGAGCATGTGGTGTCATTGGTTTTGCTGCCTCTGGATAGAGGCAGAGTCAGCCCGAGTGAAAGTGTGAAAGGAAAAGGTAAAGTGTTAAGGCTGACTTGGCAAATCCAGAGTAAAACCCGGAAAATGGCCTTAACCCCCACATTGACTTCCTGCCCCTCCTCTAGGACAGCCCAGCCCTCCTGCCAGTGCTGCAGAAGGACCCTCACGCACATGGGATGGGAGTAGCCTTTATGGAAATCGAAGCCGGTGATGGCCTGGACACAGTCAATGTCCAGCTTGCGGGCCACACGGTGCAGGTTGGGCAGGTTGAGCTGGACGCAGCCAATGGGCATCATGCTGGGCAGGAAGAGGTACACGTTCCCAAACTCATTCCGGGGGACCTGCAGAGGGTAGCACAGCCGGTCTAGCCAGCAGCAGTGTGCAGCAGCCCGGTCCTGACCCATCACAACACTGCCCTCACCTTGCCGTCCACAGCCACAGGCGGCTGGTACTCCTCCGTCTGCCACTCGCCAAACAGGCCCAGGTCGTTGTGGTCCTGCAGCTGGGGCTCGGCAAGGCGGGCCTTCCGGGCCCGGTTGGAGTAGCCTTTCACCATCTGCACCAGAGGGAACAGCCAGTTTAGAGGACCACTGCTTCCAGAGCACTTACTATATACCGGGTACTGTGCTGAGGGTTTTCCTGAACCCATGGCCTCATTTAACCTCCACCATGAGCCCGAGATGCGCGCACTTCCCACCTGCTTACAGTGCCTAGTACCACCGTGGCCCCAAGGACAGCTGCTGCTAGCCAGCACCTGCAGATGGTCCCTGCTCTATGCACTGTGCCCCGCAGGGTGGTCCCAGCACTGTCTCCACTGCGCAGACAGACGGGTGACCTGCAAGCCACTGCCTACAGCCACAGGCCGGAGGGCCAGAACCAGGCTTTTACCAGCCACACCATGTGCTCTACCTTCATCACAGACAGGGTGACTGGGACCTGGAGATGAAGTCACTTAAGTCCCATCGCTCAGTGAGTGACAGGGCTGGGATTTAAACCTGGGAACTAGCTGTGTCATGCATTCTGGAAGGCACTGACGGCATGGGACCCGCCGCACACTACCTGACCATGTCTAGTACCCAGAAGTTTCACTGGGGAGCATGAGCAAGAAAGCTGCGTACGTGTCACGAGGAGGAGAAGGACGGGCACACTGGGCGCCTCTAGCTCAGGGCTCAGCACGTTTTTTTGGAAAGGGTCATATGTAGCCTGTTTTACAACCCTTAAAAAATGTCACATGTCTTGCATGCTCGAAAGATCCATATTACAAATTCCCCCATTAGACTAAGACATATTTGAATGCTTTCTCTTCCTTTGGTCTTTCTCAGGTTAGAAAAGTCAGCCCTGGATTCCTCTCCCAGGTGCGCACTCAGCAGCCCGGAGTGCCCAGGCCTCTGTCCCCAGTGCGCCGCCGCCCCCTCCCCCCCTTCCCACCCCCTGTGGTTACCTTGTAGGGCACTTCTCCCAGCCTCACCACTCTGGCCTGTTTCAGCCACGTGTCCCGGGAGTGCAGGGTATGCACGCAATCCCTGCGGGAGCCAACAGAGGGAGACACAGGACAAACTCAGTCCATACCCAGCTTGGAGCACGCGCGGCACACCAAACATGGCTCCCCTGAAGGAAGGGCTCAGGCCTCCATTCTCTCCTCAGGCTGGGTTCCTGGGGGGACCAGGAGACCTGTGTTATACAAACAGCTAATCTGGACTTCCTATCTTCTCAGAAATGTGCCCGTTTAAAAATATGACCTAAACAGAGTTGTCTTGTCTATCTTGGGCTGCAAGCCAGGACTCCCCCCTCCTCCCACAGTGGGAGGCAAGGCAGAACCAGCACCCTCCACACCACCATGTCAGCGCCTGGCTGCCCAAGGCCCGGTCGGCTGCTAAACACAGAGATGGGGGAAGGACCGAGTGTCCAGAGAAGGGGCAGGGAACCCCCAAGAAGACTACACCAGAACTGCGAGCTAGTGAGTTACCACGGAATGATGACTCACGCGCGTGGAACAGTCTTAATTCCTGGCAGCCAGTGACTGCAGAGCATGCCTCTGGCTTCACTCTCCTTCCAGGATAAGCGCTGTAGCCCAGCCTTGCAAGGCTACCTCCCCACGAGTTCCAACTGCCTTCCTTGCTGAGCTTTCTGTGACAGGACATGCTCATCTCCTCCTCAGTCGGCAGCCCTGCACTCTGGCCAGAGGGTGGGCTCCGCAGAGTGAGGGCATGAAGTTCCCTTCCAGTGCGGAAACCAGATCCTCTGCTCCTGCCTCCTCTGTGCCACGGCCTACCGGGGAGACCCTGCATGAGCCACTGTCCCTTCTGGAGCCTTGGGGGCATCCTCTATCTGTCATGATTGAGCTCTGTCCTCTCTGCTCTGCCAGGCAGAGGGAGGACCAGACGCTTTCCCGGTGCTAGAGCATCCCGATTGGGGCTGAGACCTCCACTTGCACTTCCCCCCACCCCTTGGCAGGCTACACAGCTCTGATCACCCCAAGGAGCCATTATGTCACAGTCATGACCTTCACATGGGGGGGTGGGGACAGGCTGGACACTGTCAGGACATTCCAAGGAGCACAGTGGGGAAGTGGACAGAGCCCTTTCAGGCTAAATCTCAACTTCTAACCACTTTACACCCTCAGAATGGCTGTTATCAAAAAACTAGAAAAGTGTTGGCGAGGCTGTGGGATAACTGGCATCCTTTCGTGTTGCTGGTAGGGCTGTAAAACCATGCAGCCATTGTGGAAAGCAGGATCCTAGTTCTTCAAAAGTTAAACACAAAATTACCATATGGTCCAGCAATTCTACTTCTGGGTGTGTACCCAAAAGAAATGTAAGCAGAATCTCAAAGAGATTACCTGTACACCCATGTTCACAGAAGCACTATTCACAACAGCCAAAAGGGGAAGCAATGCAAGCGTCCGTCCCTAGAGGCCATTCACAAAAGGACAAATACTGCATGGTCACATTTACGTAAGGTCCCCACAAGAGTCCAATAAAAACCAGCGCGGTGGCTGCCAGAGGTTGGGGAGGCAGGGGTTAGGGTGAGTGTTTCATGGGGATGGAGTTTCAGTTCTGGAGATAAAGTCCTGGAGGGGTGCCTGAGTGGCTCAATGGCTTAAAGCCTCTGCCTTCGGCTCAGGTCATGATCCCAGGCTCCTGGGATGGAGCCCCACATCAGGCTGTCTGCTCGGTGGGGAGCCCGCTTCCTCTCTCTCTCTGCCTGCCTCTCTGTCTACTTGTGATCTGTCTGTTAAATAAATAAAAAATCTTTAAACCAAAAAAAAAAAATTCCTGGAGACAGATGGTAGGGATGGGCGTATGAGCCAATGTACTTAACACTACCAAACCATACATTTACAAATGGTTACATGGTAAACTTGGTTTTGTCTATTCTACTACCCAAAAAAAACATCCGCCTCTAATGCTCTCTCTGATGACTGACATGGTTGGTCCCTGGGGACCAGGCCTGCTTCCTTCTCACTGGACCTGCTTTCCCCCCACCACCTGAGGAAGCCTGTGCCTTCCAAGCTCTGACTGCCGGGGGCTGAGGCCCCAACCAGGTAGGACACCTCCAGAGATGCAGCAGAAAGCTCGGCCACATACCCTGAACACAGGGCATTGGCGGAGTCCTTGCAGGGCTGCACGCAGGAAGGAGGTCCCACTCAGAGCCCTTGTACCACCTATTTGTGTGATTTCCCTGCTCCATTGTTTTCTCTTTATTCTCCTGTTTATTAAGAGCATCCTCTACTCTGCCAGCATTCCCTTGATCCCAAAACCAGACAAAGACCCCATCAAAAAAGGAGAATTACAGACCAATATCCTTGATGAACACGGATGCAAAGATTCTCACCAAAATACTAGCCAATAGGATCCAACAGTACATTCAAAGGATTATTCACCACGACCAAGTGGGATTTAGTCCAGGGCTGCAAGATTCGTTCGAAATCTGCAGATCAATCAATGTGCTACAATACATTAATAAAAGAAAAAGAACCGTATGATACTCTTGAGAAATGCTGAAAAAGCATTTGACAAATACAGCATCCTTTCTTGATCAAAACTCTTCCAAGTACAGGGATAGATGGTACATACCTCAATACCATCAAAGCCATCTATGAAAAACCCACCGCAAATATCTTTCTCAATGGGGAAAAACTGACAGCTTTTCCCCTAAGGTCAGGAATACAGCAGGGATGTCCACTATCACCACTGCTATTCAACATAGTACTAGAAGTCCTAGCCTCAGCAATCAGACAACAAAAAGAAAAGTCATCCGAATAGGCAAAGAAGAAGTCAAACTCTCACTCTTTGCAGACGGTATGATACGTTCTGTGGAAAATCCAAAGACTCCACTCCAAAACTGCTAGAACTCCTACAGGAATTCAGTAAAATGTCAGGATAGAAAACCAGTGCACAGAAATCAGTGACATTTCTATATGCCAAAAACAAGACAAAGAAAGAGAAATTAAGGAGTCAATACCACTTACAATTGCACCCAAAACCATAAGATACCTAGGAATAAACCTAACCAAAGAGGCAAAGAATCTGTACTCAGAAAACAATAAAGTACTCATGAAAGAAATTGAGGAAGACACAATGAAATGGAAAAATGTTCCATGCGCATGGATTGGAGAAACAAATATGGTGAAAATGTCTATGCTACCTAAAGCAATCTACACATTTAATGCAATCCCTATCAAAATACCATTTTTCAAATGTTTCTCAAAGAAATGGAACAAACAATCCTAAAATTTATATGGAACCAGAAAAGACCCCAAATAACTGGAGGAATGTTGAAAAAGAAAACCAAAGTTGGTGGGATCACAATTCCAGACTTCAAGCTCTATTACAAAGCTGTCATCATCACGACAGTATGGTACTGGCACAAAAACAGACACATAGATCAATGGAACAGAACAGAGAGCCCAGAAATGGATCCTCAACTCTGTGGTCAACTAATCTTTGACAAAGCAGGGAAGAATGTCCAATGGAAAAATTGGACCCCACATACAGAAGAATGAAACCAGATCATTTCTTTATACCACACACAAAAATAGACTCAAAATGGATGAAGGACCTCAATGTGAGACAGGAATCCATCAAAACCCTTGAGGAGAACACAGGCAGCAACCTCTTTGACCTCAGCCACAGCAACTTCTTCCTAGAAACATCACCAAAGGGAAGGGAAGCAAGGACAAAAATGAACTATTGGGACTTCATCAAGATCAAAAGCTCTTGCACAGCAAAGGAAACAGTCAACAAAACCAAAAGACAACTGACAGAATGGGAGAAGATACTCACAAATGACAGATCAGATAAAGGGCTAGTATCCAAAAGCTACAAAGAACTTATCAAACTCAAAACCCAAAGAACAAATAATCCAATCAAGAAATGGGCAGAGGACATGAACAGACATTTCTGCAAAGAAAACATCCAAATGGCCAACAGACATATGAAAAAGTGCTCAACATCACTCAGCATCAGGGAAATACAAATCAAAACCACAATGAGATACCACCTCACACCAGTCAGAATGGCTAAAATTAACCAGTGAAGAAATGACAGGTGTTGGTGAGGAAGCAGAAAAAGAGGAACCTTCCTACACCGTTGGTGGGAATGCAAGCTGATCCAGCCATTCTGGAAAACAGCATGGAGGTTCCTCAAAAAGTTGAAAACAGAGCCACCCTATGACCAAGCAATCGCATTACTAGGTATTTACCCTATAGATACAAATGTAGTGATCTGAAGGCACACATGCACCCCAATGTTTATAGAAGCAATGTCCACAATAGACAAACTATGGAAAGTTTGTCCATCGACAGATGAATGGATAAAGAAGGTGTGGTATAAATAAATACAATGGAATACTATGCAGCCATCAAAGGAAATGAAATCTTGCCATATGAAATAAGTCAATCAGAGAAAGACAATTATCATACCATCTCCCTGATATGAGGAATTTGGGAGGGTGGGGAGTTGTGGGGGGCAGGGAGGGGAAAAAATGAAACAAGATGGGATCAGGAGGGAGACAAACCATGAGAGACTCAATCTCAGGAAATGAACTGAGGGTTGCTCGGGGGTTGGGGGTTAGGGGTTAGGGATAGGGTGGCTGGGTGATGGACATTGGGGCGGGTATGTGCTATGGTGAGTGCTGTGAATTGTGTAAGACTGATGATTCACAGACCTGTACTCCTGAAGCAAATAATACATTATATGTTAATTTTTTTAAAAAATCCTCTATTTTTTTGGTCTTTCATTCCAGTTTTAAAAAGCCACTTCTTGGGACACCTGGGTGGCTCAGTTGATTAGGCGTCTGCCTTCAGCTCAGGTCATGATCCCAGGGTCTTGGGATCGAGTCCCCCAGGGGGCTCCTTGCTCAGCAGGGAGCCTGCTTCTCCCTCTCCCTGCCACTCCCCCTACTTGTACATACTCTGTCTCTCTGACAAATAAATACATAAAATCCTTTAAAAAAAATAAAAATAAAAAATAAAAAGCCACATTTTAGTTATCATTTTTGTTTTTTTAGATACACACTTTATTTAAATTCAATTAATTAATATATAATGTATTATTGGTTTCAGAGGTGGCGGTCAGTGATTCAACAACCTTACATAATACCCAGTAATCATTACATCACGTGCCCTACTCTATCGTTTCTCAGCCTTTTGGCTAAGATCAACTGTAACATCACATGCCCTCCTCAATGTCCATCACCCAGTTACCCCACTCCCCACCCCTCCAGCAACCCTCAGTTTGTTGCCTATGATTAAGTCTCTTATGGTCTGTCTCCCTGGTTTTGTCTTATTTTATTTTTTCCTTTCTCCTATGATCCTGTTCTGCTTCTTAAATTCCACATATCAGTGACATCATATGATAACTTTCTCTAACTTACTTATCTTGCTTACTGTATTCTTCTAGCTCTAGCCATGTCATTGCAAATGAAAGATTTCATTTTTTGATGGCTGAATAGTACTCCATTGTAATTTCTTTCTATTGCTATTTTCCTAAAAGGTCTGCTTCTATTTTTCTTTCTTTCTCACCTTAAATTGACATTAAAATTTTTTGTTTTAGGGGAACCTGGGTGATGCCATTGGTTAAGCGTCCGACTCTTGATTTCTGCTTAAGCCATGATCTCAGGGCTGTGAGATGGAGCCCTGCTTTGGGCTCTGTGCTCAGCAAGGAGTCTGCTTCAAACTCTTTCCCTCTGCCCCTACCCTGCGTGCATGCTCTCTCTCAATAAATGAATAATCTTTAAAAAGTATCTTTTGTTTTAATTTTGTATGTATTTTACGTTCTTCTTCTCTTATTCCCTTCCCCTCTTCTTCTGCCATTTTTTTTAGTGTGGACAAAATATATACAAAATATACCATTTTAACCATTTCTAAGTGTGCAGTTCCGTGGTGTTAAGTACATTTACGCTGTTGAGTAACTGTCCCCACCACACACCTCCAGAACTTTTCCATTTTCCCAAACAGAAGCTCTGTCCCCATTAAAATATCTACTCCCTTTAATTTTCATGATCAAATCTTATATTTTCTTCTTTTGTATGTTTGTAACTTACATTTTAGGGATGTATTTCCTATTGTCCCATATAAACCTTGTCATACTTTTCAATTTTTCCCCCCTCTTTTGCACCTGCTGGTCTTTTAACCCTTGTTTTCATCTTCAAGCCTGAATCCCTTCTACATGTGCCCCCATGGGACGGCGCACACATACACACACCATAAAGCTCATCCCGTTTGACATAAGGGCTGACATAAGCAGCACTCCCCGCCCCCATCCAGGAGCCTGATAGTCCCAGGACATCGGGAAGCCCACAGGGCCACCAAGCTGCCTCACGCACCTGGAGTAGACAGCTTCTCCACGACAATAGCCAAGAATCGCAGCTGTCTCAGGGTAGATGGCCTCGTATTTCAACAGATGCCTCTTCAGCGCATACAGAGGGTGGTTCTTGTATGTGCCAATGACAGTAGGCAAAGGCTGGCCCAGGTGCTTTGCCTGGAACTGCAAAGGCCAGAGAGATAATGCTGAACACGTCTGGAAGAGGAGGGGAGGTCTGAGGCAGGCGAGCCGTAGACCACCTTGTTCAGGAAAACAGTGAAGCAGAGGTTTCATGAGCACCAATAACCATAACATTGCACCTGCAGTCTGGTTCTAGGCAGGTTTTAGATAAAGCATGGAATCGCGGGGCTTGTGGCAACTGTGAAAAGTCATCTAACCTATTCATTCTCAGTGCTTGGACACCCTGGCCAACCCAAGCAGGTTAGTGCCTGCTCTTGTCCTCAGGGAAGACACATGGTTTTCTTCAGGAAGGCCTTACCTGCTCTGTGATGGGGGTCCACTTGGGTCTACTTGACCCTACTCTCCCAGGAAACTCCAATGGGCCATTGGCACCGTGTCTCTCCTTGCCCTCCTGTGACAAACACTCATTCTTTTAGTACTTCTTTCAGGATTCTGATTTCTCAGTGGACAATTCCACATGGGGCTCAAATAGGGCAGGGAGACACACGGCCACCATATTCATGAGTTTGGTCTTCTTTCACTCAGAGCAATTTATATGACTACATAAATTGTTTTAGAGCTCCAAATTTACAACTAGAAGGTAACTAAAAGTGTGCTGCATAATGGCCAGATAGACGTGGGTTCAAATACCAAAGCAGTTAATCTCTCAGAGCCTCCATTTTTAACTGGTAAAATCAAGGCAAAAGCCATCCCAGGTCTATAGTATTGTGAAAATTCCAGATCACACACAAAGATACCCCCACCACATGGGACCGGGCATATACAAGGGGCACCAAGATGGGCCGTCAAGCCCACAGCAGCCGAGGCCTTACCTCTGAGTCTTCCTTCTTCTCCCTCTCCACCAACGGACTCTGGTATGGTCTCAAGGTTTCAGCCCACCACTTGGCATCAACCCGGCACTTGCGGGTCGCAGTCATCCAGTCTGGATCGTACCTCTGGGTAACATCCCGGACCCAGCCATCACCGTCGATGCCCACCACATAGGTCATGGGCTTGGTGGCATACTTGTAACAGGACAGAGCCTGGCCCACCACACCATGCACACAGTCCACACACACCCACTTTTCCTCTTGCTCACAGAACACCTCTAGCCACTGGTCTACACCAGCTGCTTTCCCTCTTTCTGCCCCCTCACCATCACTGGAGATTTTCTTGCCTCGTTTACTCTTACTGCTTGAAGAGCTCGTGGATGCTGCTGGGAAGCCAGGATGCTTAGGGTGCCTTCTACGCTGGGTCCTGGAGTCACTCCTGGACCCTGCCTTTGATCTCTGCCTGGGAAGGCCAGGCTCAGAATCCTCATCAGATGAATGATGGGCTTCCCCACTGGAGAGCTCGAAGTCAGAACCGCTACTACCCTTGTCACTCCCACTCTCTTCTTTATAAGACACCCTGGAGGCCACCTGCCGCTCTCGGCCATGCCGACATCTCTGGGTATCCTCCTGCTGCCCTCCTGCCTTGTGCTCTTCTTCCCTGCTGGAGGGCCCTCTCTGTTTCTTCCTGACTGTAGCTGCTTTGCTCCTCTTCCCTTTGGCACTTGGACGGCCAGGGCCCTTAGATGATGTGACCTCTTCTCTGGTTCCTTGGCTGGTCTTGGGTTTGGTTTGGCTTTCTAGAACTGGGCTGCAAGTTTCCAAGGAGCCTCCAGCACCTTCCGCAGATGTCGCCTTTGGAGCTTTCTTTCCCTGAAACAGAAGAGGAAACTATGTTTTTCCTTTCTGTGCTCATATGATAGAGATCCTATACTCTGCCAGGGCTAAATCACTGGCTATAGAACCAGCATACACAGGATGTCCCCAGCTCAGACAGGGTAGGGCAGGGCCAATAATCCTTTAGAAATGTAAGAATGTATTCACTAAAATCTGTGGTATCTTACCTAAGCCACAAAGTAACTCTTTGCACTCTAGAACCTGGTGGAGGGGCAGGGGTGTGAACACAGGAAACACAGGAACCTGGTTTCCAACTCCAGTTCTGCTTCTCATTCATTATGTGTTCCAGTCAACTATATATACATTTATTTACATTTTCTCAAATATTTATTTATTACATATAGGTAAAACTCTGAGTCAGTTTCCTCAGTAATAGTACCCACCTTGCACATAACATGCCTTGCAAATAAATACTGATGGACTTAATAAACTTGCTGCATTAAGATGATGGAATTAAATCCACCTCTGGACCACTAAGTCTCGAGATTACCAACAGTGCAGCTCGTCTAGTGCCAAGCCTCCTCCTCAGGTAACAGTAGAAGGCAGAGTCCTTCATCCCTTACTGTTCAGCGCAGCCAAGGAGGAGGAAGGGGCCATTCTGCTGTGTCACAAGGCAGAAACTAACCCACCAGGCAGCTAGGACCTCTCTTGGGCCCCTCTGTGCCCTCTGTGCCACTGGAGACCAGTCTTCCAAACATTGGGGTGAGCAAGGTAGGCTCCAAGGGGCCCACGCTCCATAAATGCCGACCCATAAAAGTAGTCCAATGACCAATTTTTTTGTTATAGGATAATTTCTCCCTCCCCACTGAGCCAACTGCCCTTTAGGAGAACCCCACCTTTGCTGGGGGTAACTTCAGAGGAATCGGCTGCAGAGACAGAACCAGTCGGGTCGAGAGCTGTAGGGCCCGGAGGATCAGTAAAAATATCTGTGGGGAAAAAGAATGATACATTTATCCTAAGAAAAGAATGGAGGTTTTAACTAAATTCACGGTATTTGTTGTGGTAGTTTTTTTTTTAGAATACGGAAAAGTTAGAAACAACCAAACAATAGGTGCCTAAAACCCTGAACACTACTAAAAATGATGCCAAACAGGTATCTCTTTATAGAAAAATGGGAAGATGTTCACTACATCTCAGAGAAGTTTGGTTTTTAATGTGTTATGTTAAATTTCATTAAAAAAAAAAAAAAAAACTGGGGTGCCTGGGTGGCTCAGTGGGTTAAAGCCTCTGCCTTCGGTTCAGATCGTGATCCCAGGGTCCTGGAATCAAGTCCCACATCAGGCTCTCTGCTCGGCAGGGAGCCTGCTTCCCCCTCTCTCCCTCTGCCTGCTTCTCTGCCTACTTGTGATCTCTATCTGCCAAATAAATAAATAAAATCTTAAAAAAAATACGTAATTGTTTAAAAAAAAAACTGACAAAAAGAATAACTCTTGGAACAAAAAAGCAACCATATTCTGGAAGGTAGGAAGTGCAGAAAAATGAATATGAGGTGACAGAAGGGAAGATAGGTCGCGGGGGGAGGGGCCGGCTCTCCGCAAGCCGCAGAGCACCAGCGCACACAGTCAGAACTTTTAGAAGTTTGCTCCACTGAGGGACGATGCTCCAGAGGCTAAGTGTGGGGGGTGGAGCCCTCGCAGGGACAGTGTGGTCTCAGGTCCTGTGGGGTCACAGAACAACCCAGGATGCCTGAGTGTGGCACAGCCCCCAAGTATCTGAGTAGGAAAGTAGGCGACAGAGACAGAGCTGAGGAGTGGGCACTCAGCTCAGGGTTGCCATAAACCATAATCTTGGGCACAGTCGGGCAACTGCTCTTCATGCAGGAACCCCACAAGTGGCAGATCCAGGGAGCAACCCACCCTTCCTCCACCAGGAGGAGAGGCACGGGAGCATGCTGCAGGAATCTGCTGTGTTTGGAGACTCTAAGCAGGGCCACGCACCAGAGATAGAAACGCTCAGTCACAGGCTGGGTGAGCCTGGAGTGCAACGGAGATCAGGGAAACAGGAGGGACTGACTGCTTTTCTCTGAGGGTGCACTGAGGAGTGGGGCCCTGAGCTCTCGGAGCCTGGCCCCTGGCAAAGGCGGTACAATTCTACCTCCGGCAAGGACATTTTGGAGAATCACTGCAACAGGCCCCTCCTCCAGAAGATCACTAACAACACCCAGCCAAAAACCAAGTTTAGCCATCAATGACAACTGTGGAACTCCAGAGCGAGGGGAATGCAGCACATACAATTCCTGGCTTTTTTGTACCAGGATTCTTTAGTCACTGCAAGTTAAATGTTCTAAATTTTATTTTTCTCTAACTCTATTGTTTTATAATTTTTCCTTTACTATTTTAACTACTTTATCTTATCAATACCTTTTTAAAAACCTTTTTTAATTTTCACTGTTTTATTCATATTCTATCCCTTCCCTGTATTTAACCTTATTTTTTGGATACACGTAAGTTTTCCTTTCTTTAATTCTAGGATACGGTTTCTTCTAACAGATCGAAAAATACCTTAAATCTAGCATATGGCTTCCTTCTACTCTCTAGCCTGATGACATTCTTTTTTTTTTTTTTTCAAGTGACTTCTCATCAATTCCTTTTTTAGAATCATTTTTAATTTTCAACTTTACAATTAGAATCCATCCCTTCGTTGTGTTTACCCTTATAATTTTATATACATATTCTTTCTCTAAAATTTTGGCAGTTTCTTCTAACAGACCAAAATATACCAAAAATCAAGTGTGTGACTTTATTCTATTCATCAGTGTAATCTTGTGTGTGTTTGTGTGTGTGTATAAATACATATATATTCTTTTCTCCTTTCTTCTCCCTCTGGCTTCAGGTCTCTTCTGATTTGGTTAGTGTACATTTTTCTGGGGTTGTTGCTATTACACTTTTAGTATTGTGCTCTCCCATTCATCTATTCTTATCTGGATAAAATGTCAAGGCGGAAAAACTAACCTCAAAAAAAAAAAAAAAAAAGAACAAGAGGCAGTACTGATGGCTAGGGACCTAATGAATATGGACATTAATAAGATGTCAGAACCAGAGTTCAGAAGGATGATTATCTAGATGGATGCTAGCGGGGCTTGAAAAAAAGCACACAAGATACTAGAAAATCCCTTTCTGGAAAAATGAAATAACAAAAATCTAACCAAGTTAAAATCAAAAAAGCTATTAATGAGGTGCAATAAAAAATGGAGGCTCTTACTGCTAGGATAAATAAGACAGAAAAGAGAATTAGTGATATATAAAACCTAATGATGGAGAATAAAGAAGCTGAGAAAAAGACAGAGAAACAACTACTGGACCATGAGGAGAGAATTACAGAGATAAGCGATAACATAAGACAAAACAGTATTAGAAGAATTGGATTCCCAGAAGAAGAGGGGTGAGCAGAATGTATACTGGAACAAATTATAGAAGAGAACTTCCCTAATTTGGGGACGGAAACAAGCATCAAAATCCTGGAGGCACAGAGAACCCCCCTCAAAATCAATAAAAATGGGTCCACACTCTGTCATATAAGAGTAAAATTTACAAGTCTCCGTGGCAAAAAGATAATCCTGAAAGTAGCTCGGGACAAAAGGTCTATAATCTACAATGGTAGAAATATTACATTGGCAGCAGACTCTTCCACAGAGACCTGGCAGGCCAGAAAGGACTGCCATGATATATTCAGAGCACTAAATGAGAAAAACATGCAGCCAAGAATACTATATCCAGCTAGGCTGTCACTGAAAATAGGAGAGATTAAAAACTTCCAGGACAAACAAAACCTAAAAGAATTTGCAAACACCAAACAAGACCTACATGATATATTGAAAGGGGTCCTCTGAGCAAACAGAGAGCCTAAAAGTGACAGACCAGAAAGAAACAGAGACAATATACAGTAACAGTCACCTTACAGGCCATACAGTGGCACTAAATTCGTATCTTTCAGTAGTTACCCTGAATGTAAATGGGCTAAATGCCCCAAGCAAAAGACACACGGTATCAGAATGGATAAAACAAACAAGACCTATTGATACACTGTTTACAAGAAACTCATTTTAGACCCAAAGACACCTCCAGATTTAAAGTGAGGGAGTGGAAAACAATTCACCATGCTAATGGACATCAAAAGATAGCTGGGGTGGCAATCCTTTTATCAGATAAATTAGATTTTAAGCCAAAGACTATAATAAGAGCTGAGAAAGGACACTATATCATACGCAAACGGTCTGTCCAACAAGAAGATCTAGCAATTTCAAATATCTATGCCCCTAACATGGGAGCAGCCAACTATATATACCAATTAAAAACAAAATCAAAAAAACACATCGACAACAATACAATAATAGTAGGGGACTTTAACACCCCCCTCACTGAAATGGACAGATCATCTAAGCAAAAGATCAACAAGGAAATAAAGCCTTTAAATGACACACTGGACCCGATGAACCACACAGATATATTCAGAACATTCCATCCCAAAGCAACAGAATACGCATTCTTCTCTAGTGCACATGGAACATTCTCCAGGAGAGATCACATCCTGGGTCACAAATCAGGTCTCAACTGGTACCAAAAGACAGGGATCACTCCCTGCCTATTTTCAGACCACAGTGCTCTGAAACTAGAACTCAACCACAAGAGGAAAGTTGGAAAGAACTCAACTACATGGAGGCTAAAGAGCATCCTACTAAACGATGAGTGAGTCAACCAGGAAATTAAAGAAGAATTTTTAAAAGTCATGGAAACAAATGAAAATGAAAACACAACTGTTCAAAATCTTTGAGACACAGCAAAGGCGGTCCTGAAAGTATACAGCAATATAAGCCTTTCTCAAGAAACAAGAAAATCTCAAGTACACAACCTAACCCTACACCTAAAGGAGCTGGAGAAAGAACAGCAAAGAAAGCCTAAACCCAGCGGGAGAAGAGAAATAATCATCAGAGCAGAAATCAATGAAATAGAAACCAAAAGAATACTAGAACAAATCAAACAAACTAGGAGCTGGTTCTTTGAAAGAATTAATAAGATTGATAAACCCCTAGCCAGACTTATCAAAAAGAAAAAAGAGAAGGGACCCAAATTAATAAAATCATGAGTGAAAGAGGAGAGATCACAACCAACACCAAAGAAATAAAAACAATTACAGGAACATATTATGAGCAACTATACACCAGCAAATTTGACAACCTGGAAGAAATGGATGCATTCCTAGAGACCATATGAACTACCACAACTGAACCAGGAAGAAGTAGAAAACCTGAACAGACCCATAACCAGTAAGGAGATTGAAGCAGTCAATAATAATCTCCCAACAATCAAGAGCCCAGGGCCAGACGACTTCCCAGGGGAATTCCACCAAACATTTAAAGAAGAATTAACGTCTATTCTCCTGAAACTGTTCCAAAAATCAGAAACAGAAGGAAAACTTCCAAACTCATTTTATGAGGCCAGCATTACCTTGATCCCAAAACTAGACAAAGACCCCATCAAAAAGGAGAATCACAGACCAATATCCTTGATGAACACAGTAGCAAAAATTCTCAACAAAATACTAGCCAATAGGATCCAACAGTACATTCAAAGGATTATTCACCACGACCAAGTGGGATTTATTCCTGGGCTGCAACGGTGCTTCAACACCCACGAATCAATCAGTATGATACAATGCATTATTAAAAGAAAGAACAAGAACCATATGATACTCTCAATAGATGGTGAAAAAGCATCTGACAAAGTACAGCATCCTTTCTTCATCAAAACTGCTCAAAGAGTACAGAGAGAGGGTACATACCTCGATATCATCAGAGCCATTTATGAAAAACCCACAGTGAATATCATCCTCAATGGGGAAAAAACTGAGAGCTTTTCCCCTAAGGTCAGGAACACGACCTTAGGGCTGTCCACTATCACTACTGCTATTCAAATAGTACTAGAAGTCC